TAATGGAGCGATTTATAACGCTGCACCGAGTTGGTAATGTAATCGACAAGAATACAAGTTTTTTTCTATAGAATGTGCATATGCAGACTTCATGCACACTGCTGAACACACACACACACACACACACACACACACACACACACACACACACACACACACACACACACACACACACACACACACACACACACACACACACACACACACACACAGAAAACACACTTCGCCCTCACCATCACCTGCTGCTTGATTTACGGTGAGGCCTCATGGGAAAAGCATTAGCGGGAGAGATATGGTCGATAAAGAATTCCTAACAAAGGACGACACACACACACACACACACACACACACACACACACACACACACACACACACACACACACACACACTCCACCCCCATCCTACAACTTTACAGCATGCTAAAACTCCACAGAGAGCCCTGCAGTTACACGAGCAAATAAACTCTGCTTTACAGCCGGCTGTAACCATCAACAGGTCGCAGCTTCACACATGTCTGCAGGAGGGAAACAAGAGCACTATCTTCTGTAATCAAATCCGCACATTTAGAGAATATAGACTCATATGGTACATTTTCACTCCAAAAAGCACCGCAGATTAGCAGTAAAAATCATAATAAAAACCCTCCCTCGTGGACTCACTGCACCATATCTGATCCGACCCGATGTGTGTGTGAGCTCACTGATGTTCAGGGAGATAAGGGTCACTTTGTCTTCCACTTTAGCAGCAATAAGAGGAGATTTCACTCACATCTGTCTCCTAAGATGCCCTCGATGCTGTGTTTGGCCCTCCGGTCGCTCTCCTCCAGCTCCTTCCTCTCCAGCTCCTCCTCATCCTCCTCCTCGTCGCCTTTCCCCCCGAACTTACTCCGCATGGTGCGACTGATGGAGCTCACTGCGTAAAACCGGTCAAAACGTGGAAATTACAAATGTCGTTTTTGTTGTTGTTGGAAAACAGTGATAATTTGCACCTTGAAATAAATAACAGTGTAGAAGTTGGGATAAGTCACTAAAAAAGTTAAAACACTTAAGTAATGGTATTTTTGTTTAAAGAATGTGTGTTTTTATAACTTTAGCCTATTAATTGTTACATTTTTAAAAGGTAAAAATACATTAAAATGTTCGTTTAGGCTGTATAATAAAATGGTAAAAGTCATTTTTTTACTAAATTATATGAAGTAATATAATGTTTGTTTCAATAATAATGTTCATTAAGTGGAAATCAGCAAAATGTCTATTGTTTTTTTCTCCAAAAATACTCACTGTTAATTGGCACCGCTCTAATATATGACAGCAAATAGGCCATTAGTCTGAAATATATGTGAAGATTTGAGTTTTGTTTTGAGTTGTTTAACTTAATCCTCTCCTAATTGTTATTTAGTGCAAAATATATAGGAACAAAAGTTCAACTGCCTGTATCATAATATGGTCAAAGTTAATTTTGTATGTCGAACATAAAATGAAGTAAAATATATAATACCAATAAAGCTTATAAATGAATGAATGAATTTTTGACCAGGCTTCATCTTAATATTGTGATTTGATGGTGATATTTTTGATTATTACATGTCTGCCCTTCTTTACCTGAAGGCACGGTGTTGCGGTCACATATCCCATCCTTCAGTAATTTATCCCGAATCTCCCAGCTAAACATACCCGGGTTTTCCCGCTTGTAATCTTCTATTCTCTTGTCTACGTCCGGCGTGGTCCCCTGCTTCAAAAGGTCAGACAAGTGGCACAGTTTAGTCACTTTGTTGTGGCCCTGGGGGCACAACGCGTGCAATGTCTCCAAAAAAAAACACGTTAATGGATTTTTGACAATAATGTAAGGATTTCACATGGATTCATGGCACATGTATATTCTCTATACCTTGGGCTTGCTGCCCCCGATGGCCCCGGGCCGGATGGAGCCGGTCTCCTGGTATCGGCACAGGATCTTGGAGACGCAGCCGTGAGAGACGCGCAGCTGCCGGGAGATTACGCACGGCCGGACTCCGTGGTGCGCCATCTCCACGATCTTATGTCGGATGTGGTTGGGCAAAGGTCTGCCGTTTATAAAAACTCCTCCGAGCTGGTTCACACGGCCTTGACCCAACGGGGTAGACACTACATGTTTAAATAAAATAAAAAATACGAGAGGTGAGGGTCACTTTGGTGATGAGAACATGATGTTATTGGACTTCAAAAAGCCCCTTATCTACCATCATATCATATAGACTGAAGCCGTGTGTTTTTAGCAGCTCTTAAAATGCTGATGAGCTGATAATAAATTACATTTTACGCAAGAACATATTATCATAATATGATCCCATTAAAGTTGTTTTTGGTGTCACCATGCTGGCCACAGAGGAGCTTCAACTGACCTTCAATATAACAACATAATAAAGAATTAAGCATTGTGTTTTTTAACTGCTCCCAAACAGCTGATAATAAATGTGTTTTTTACGCACATTTTTACGCACCATTATGACATGAATGGTTCCATTAAATACGTTTTTATTGTATGCAATATTGTTAATAGGCTAGCCTAATTATTTATAAAGGCTGCACGGAAGTTTGTTGCTAAACAAGAAATGTAAGACGATAGGCTGCAAGAGCAATATAAAATAAATACCGCAAAAACATGTAATTTTTGCACAAAGTTCGTGTTTTTTAAGCGGCCTAAAAGCAATACATAGGCTACATAACAATGTGTCAGTTCAGCTGCTGGATGTTTCAGTCCTGTAACTGAACAAAGTTTGGGTTTCTAAGGCGAGGTCATAAAAGTATCCTAAACATAATAGAAACAAAATGGTGAGTTTGGCTGCTGAGAAGTAACTCTATAAAACTTTAGAGTCCCGTGTTTCTTAGCACAGTTGTGGAAAGAAAGCATGTGGCTCCACAAATGTGGCCTGGAGAAATGATACACAATATCTCAGTTCAGCTGGTGAAAAGTAATTCTATAATTCGTTATAGACCTATAACTGCACACAGTTTTATTTTTGTGTCGAACAAACAAGTCTCTGGCTTAAAAATAAAAGGATAAATAGCCAAAATATGTCAGTTCAGCGACAAAAATGTAATCCTACGAAACTTGTACAACCATAACTGCAAAAAGTTAGTTTTTCTAATCCAAGATGTAGAGAGAAAGTGAAATGGTTAAATGAAAGCAGCCTGACAGTGACTTTTGCTCTGAAATAAACATCTTCTCTGAACATCCAGGGCTTCCTTTGGGTAAATGTGATGCCTTTTACCTTCCAGTGGGAAGCCACTGCGGGGGTAGTTCTGAGCCAGCGTGGGTCGCATCATCCTGGGGATTGACCCCGCCAACGCACTCAGTACCTCCAGCACCGCGGTGCCTTCAGGGAGCTCCTCCTGCCGGGGAGGCTGCAGCTCCAACACCGAGTTTGAAGCAGCAAAATCGGCGTTGAAATCGCGTTTTCTCCGCCTGAGATGAAGCTTTCCTGGAGGTCAGCCTCCGAAAAAAAAGGAGAAAATTGGATTTTTCTGGATGTTAAAAAGTAGTTTCCTCGGTTTAAATCGCCAGAATAAGGAGGTATTGGAAATGTCGGTGAAGCTGGAGGAAGATATTGTTGTTGTTGTTGTTTGTTGACACCGGTTCAAAGTGAGAGCAGAGCGTCAAAAGTAGCGGAGCTCCTCTCGGTACCCGTCAGCGCTCCTCGCTCTGATTGGTCGAGAGGGTTCAGTGCTGTGCGCGGATTGGCTGACGCTGGAAACTTTTGTCCTATCAGAGAGGCTGTCACAGTTCCGCTCGGACGGGACAGGGCGTCAGTTCAGAGTCTCTGAAGGTCCTGTTTAACCGGCGAGGAGTCTCAGATATCTGACTATGTGTTGAGTCCACTGCGGGGAGGAAAGTGGGGCAGCACGTGACCACTGCGAGGTGAAATCATCTGGTTCATTTGGTAACGTATTACTATATTGCACGGACAGCCTGTTGTGAGCCACATTCGATTAATTGTATTTTTCCCCTCTATATTAAAAAATAAAAAAATAATAATAAAGGATAAACATGAAGATAAGACCAATGCAAGTTCAAGCTTATAATAAACTGTTTGCATGCATACACTCATAATCATATGTGTTCTCCCCATTCCTCTCAATATATACTTCATTTACAAGAAGGACACATGGGAAAACATAGGTGTATACAAATACAAAAAGGCAGCAATGACCAACAATAAAATACATATAGAATTCCAAATAAATAAGTGTTATTTAAGTTATGAACTATATAAAGAGTGCATAAATAAATAGGATACCCCACAGTGTAATTAAACAGACAATGAAAGCATTATTCTAAGTAATGCTTATGACATTCCTTGTGTCAATTAAGTGGACAACATTATTTAAATAAACAAAGAAATGTCCAAAGCAGCACCAGCAATAAACTCAGTCTCAAAATAAAGTATTACAAAAATAGTCCCAACTAAAACTGAGCATTTAAAATATTTATTGTTGAGTTTTTTGATTGTTAGATGTTGAATTATAATTGCCTTTATTGTAACCTAAGAATCTATCGGCAGAAAGGGTTATTTATGAATCAACTACAAAAGTGTAAGGTATTTTTTCAAATAAATGTAATTATCATTAGCCCTAAATTCCTGCATCTCCTTCTTTTTAATTACTGTTTTCATTGACTTGTTCCTATCACATCCTTAATATAAAACCACACCTGTACTGTCTGTGGCATTAATCAATAATTCAGCTGCCAAATGAAGCAACAACTCAAAAGGTAGAACTCGCACATCTCTACGCTAAATTGACCCAAAACCCCGATATTCCACTATTTCTCCTCTTCTCGCCAACCTGTGCGTGAAGCCATCTGCAAACTTGGCGTATAGTGCATGCCATTGCACACGACCCCTAATTTGTGTCAACCCCCCCATGGCTTCATATGTGACACAAATGGTGCTAAAAGTGTGTGCAGCTCGAGGAATGTATTGTGTGATCAGTCTGAGGGTCGCGCGCCTCAGCAGGGCGCGACGCCAGCGGCCGTAAAGCCAGTCTGAGGCTCTGCTGCAACAATATGGACCAGTGGGTGGGTGTGTGGGTTCATCCCCAAAATGTCTAATAATCAATGCTGTCCGCGCGCCCAAAAAGCAGAATGGAGAAGTCTTTAAAAGTACTCGTGAGCATCCTTTAGTTCCTGATCAATCACTGAACCAGAGGGCCAAACAAAACCTGGTTCTACTTCAGCGAAACAGGAACTCCATCCTCTCGTTTTAGCATGTGAGTCTTTGCACTCATTTATGCACCACTATATTTTTTTATAAGTGATTCAATGTTTTTTTTAGTTTTGAAAGGTATATTAATCACCTGACACTTCCTCTGGAGTTTTAGTGACACCCGGGTGTTAAAAGAAAGTGATGAAAACATGACACAGCAATTATTCATCCAATCTGAAATAATAACACTTGGGTTTGAACTTCAATACAATACAAAAAGAGAATCACTTATTTTCTAATAAACAGTAAAGGTATTGCTGCTCCGACACTTCCTTATATCCGATACATGTAGATTAACATTATTGATATGGAAATTACTTTTGTTATATAGCAGCAGGTTATTGGCATTATTCTACACAACTAAAAAAAAAAAAAAAGTTTAAATTAAGAAATAATTAGTTACACATCGACAGTAGACAGATATATAAGCATCTGCTCTTCTTACCTTCTAATTGTTTTAATTTTATAATAGTTTTTTTTTTTAATAGACATGTATTTCCTCTGCGTTTAACAACCAAAGCAAATTCAGTAAATACCCAATATCCAGTGGCGGACTGGGACTAAAAAATCAGCCCGGGACTCTCGACCGGCCCACCTCGGTAGCCTACCGAAAAGTAAATACCGCTAGTAAAATTGACGACGCCCCGATGGCCAGTCCGCCACTGCTAATAACCCAACCTGGCAATAAACCTGACTCTGATACAACACACAATATCAAATATAAATGAATAAGTTAGACTACACTATAATACACCAAACTAATAAACCAACCAAGTCTCGCGTGAATTCGTAAATGGTCACGTCATTTGTTCATCCATTGACTCGTGCACATGTATGTAGCCTCGAATGTTCCGTGAATGGTTTGAATTGAAATGAAAAACATTAGGAAAATCAGGTAGTGTGTTCCAGTCCAGGTAAATAAAGCACATTCAGAATCAGAATCAGAAAGCCTTTTTGCTTTAAATGGTTAAATATCGATTCATGAACAAAGCTCCAAACCGACATGGAGTAACTGTAACTCGCAGGTGGAAATGTGAGTTAAGTCTCTCTGCAAGGAAACCCCTGATATCTTTAAGACTCGTGCTAAAACTAAAGCTGCAACCCCCCCAACACCTGATCTGACCTTTTCGTTTTTGCCCCCCTCCCCTCCTCTCAAACTCACCTATGGGTTTAACACAGTGTGAGGGGGGGTCCCTGTCATTCACCTTCATTCACGCACAGCAGGCTGAGCAGGTTTCAATGAACATTCAACTCTTTGAGAGACTTTGGAGGAAAGCGCACTTCAAATGTAACTAAAAACTAAAAGCGCGTGGTGACAATGGAGAGAGAGGAA